AGAATAGACCTTCAATACCTATGCATTTATGAGCCACTTGTGTTTACGGGATCATAATTAGCCAAAGCATCATCTATTGGTTTCCCAGTGTGAATCTTGTAGCCCATGTTTAAGTAACGTGTAAATATTCGGTTTCACTGACATAAAGTGAATAGTTTATCTCATTTTGCTTTATTGCAATCGGTATTCAGAAAATTGCAAATATCTACAATAGATGCTTTGAGAATCATAAAACAGTAAGAAACAGGAAGGTTAATTTTTACACTGAACAGATGTCTTATCTCCCGAGAGATGCGATATTCATCTTCGTCCTTTTGAATGAGGCAAGAATGCGAGAATTTCAAATACCTTTTTCGGTGTAGATTTTTTCTCTAGTTTTCCTTTCTAATTTTACCAAAGAAGAGTTTGGCCGCACTTGATTGCATCGTTGTGATAATGCTATTAGAGGAGTTTTTGGGGGGTTTCGTTGGAGTTCTAAGGAGTGAAGATACACAAGCAGTACTGATGCCTCAGTGACAATTTTTCTAAACGCGTATTCTCAAAGTCATTATTTGACCAAGATTACTTGAGGGAACAATGAAACATTATCTGCGTACATATAGAGTTTCTGACATACGTACGTACGAAAACATGCGGTAGGTAATGATAGCCTTTACAGTTAAAGCAATATGCGTTTTGCAATTTATAGCCGACTTTAATTTCTAGTCATAGTAGTAGTCATCAGCTTGATACGATCTTGGAGCCGGCTTAAGACCAGCTGGGTACGATCTTGGGGCTGGGTTGACACCGTTTGGGTACGATTTCTGAGTTGCGTTGTACTCGTCTGCGTACGATCTTGGAGCTGTGTTGAAATCATCTGGGTACCGTCTCGGAGCTGCGCTATAATCATTTGGAACCGATCTTGTTGGATCAACGTAATCATGGGTGTTTGATCCGGGGGTTGCGTTGGCATTATCTTGGTTTGATCTCCCGCGCTTAGATGGTCCTTTTGAAGCAGTCAATGGTGGAGGAGCACGCAACCACTGGAGTGCGTTGAACAACCACGTTAGACATAAGAATGCAGAAAAGAACTGAAAAATAGATAGATATTCAACGCATCGATTGTTCTTCGGCAAGAAATTTCGAGAATAGCTTACCTCGCCACACATTAGCCAAAAGTTGTAATGTTTGCACATGTTTACAAGAAAGTAGAAGAAATTTATGAGTTCAAAAAGTGTAAAAACGCCACTGTATCCCATCTCCTGAAAAGGCGCTATTTTTAAAATCAGCTAACGGAAACATATTTATCGTCCGAAAGAGCTAGCAAGTTTCTATGATTGCGCTGTTCAAAAGACTCTAATATGCAAAACGAAAAACAACTACTTTTTGACAACTTCGCAGTAAGCGTTGACCAAAAAGCCATTGGAATTACGTACCGCCATTGGCCAAAACGGCGCATCCAACAAAACTGTGATATCAAGGAGTACAACCACAAAAGCAAGTATGCAAACTACCACCTGCAATCGAAATATTCCTCATCTATTGGTCTACAATAGTTCCTTTGATTTAACTGGCGGCTGGAAGGCGGATGCTTGCCCAGCGGCGCAGTTTGCGCCTCCCTCGTCTCTCTAATTATTTTCTAGCCCTGATTAGGTTTCGAAGTCCCGCCTTCCAGCCGCAGTACCGTTGAATCAACGATTATTTTACCTGGATCATAGTAGTTGTGATGACAAACCATCTGAATCCTCGGTAGCCAGGTGCAAATACGAATATAATTTGGAACAATATGAGTCCCTAAAATTGTATTTCCGTGACAGATTTTATTTTACGGATAGTCTGTTATATAAGGAAAACTCTGCAATCTAAGCCTGATTACTCACCAGCGTGACTGGTTTTACCAGATGTGGCAATCCTTTCATATCAGACAAAGTCATGGTTAATCTGCAAACAAACGATAAAACGAGAAAGAAATCTCTAAGTCTAATTTTTGAAAGTAATTGACTGCACGACAATCAAGATAAAAGTCGACAGATAGCAAAAACTAGCAAGGCTTATGCAGGATGTCCCAAAATAATTTGAACGTTTATGTATAATAACTCTCATGTAAAGCTTTTACCTTATGTTGTAAGACTGGCTTCAACTTGAATCTGCAAATGGAGAGAACCACAGGCCGCTCTTCATTGCAACTGCGGCGGGAATTCCGTAGAGGGTTTTGTGAAATTTTGCGGGCTCTATTGAGTTTGAAGGAAAAGAAAGCAACCTGAGAACTGTTGGACTGGGCTAATTAGGGTGCTGACATTGAATATGAACTTTGCACATTACTGCA